CCATGGTAGCCGGTGACCAACGATCGGTTCATACGCCATTTGTTTCTTCAGGATACTGGAGCCCATGTGCACTATTGGTTTGAGGTCCGGTTAAAGCGCCGGACATTCGCTTTTCGTCCTCTCATTTTTGTAAACAACAACCCCGCCACGAGAAGGCAGTGAGTAGGACTTCCCTGACAGAGGCTATATACGCGTGGCCATGTGAGAGCATTTCGAGAGGGAGAGCGGACTCTCCCCACTCTCGGCCGTACCAGGGTATTTGAGGGCTTTATACTGAGAGCGATGCAATTTATCCTGTCGTGTAATTGTTACAAAACCTGAACAACTAAGTGCAGTAATATTAAACATAACTATAAACAGCCCTCAAATGCCCTGGTATGGCCGAGAGTGGGGTCGCCCTCCCTCTCGAAATACTCTCACATGGCCACGTGTATATAGCCTCTGCCAGAGAAGTCCTACTCACTGTCTTTTCGTGGCGGGGGTGTTGTTTACGAAAATGAAAGGACGAGAAGCGAACGTCCGGCGCTATAACCGGATCCCTAACCAATGGTGCACATGGGCTCCAGTATCCTACGGGAACAAACGGCGTATGAACCAATTTCTTGGTCACCGGCTTCCATGGGACTGCATCACCTCACGATGCTCCACTGCCTAGTGGGTTAGACGTTTATGTCGAAGGTTCGGGGTGTGGCCCCCTAAGAAAACCACTTGCTTCGGTTTGGACACCCGAGCGGTATCACAGTCCTCACACATATTAAATGAGATCTGTGTGGCGCATATGTATTTGGTGACTCCTTGTACCAATATCTATGCGTTAAAATAAAATAAATAATAATACACGATTAACAATACAGAAAACCCTTTAATGCGGAAGTTTGATCATTTTTGAAAACAACGGTAGTTAAGAAAGCACGGGAAAACTTCGAGACATATCTTTCACTTCACTATTCTACTCGGTTCAAATATTTTGGAATATTTTATTTATTTATTTGAACACATGAATATTGGTACAAGGTGGCATCAAATATATATGAGCCACACAAAACAATGAGAATTTAAGAAGGGAAAAAAAGTAAGGAACGTAGGGGATTATAAAAAAAGGGAGAAAAATAATGGGGGAAACGGAAGGTACAATCAGAAGAAATCTTACAGTTAAGGAAGAAGCAACCACTTTTTATGAAGAAAGTAAAAGAAGGTTACAGCAGAATCACCACTGGCTTCTATTCTGAGCCATATCTGATAACGTCTCTAGTCACTGTGTTACACCATCTCTCGGACCCCAGACAGGGAGTCGTGAAGGACCAACACAAGCCAGCCCTTTGCAGCTTTCTTTCATACCACGACACCATGTCATATACTGACCACCTCTCCGCTTTTTCCAACCAGTTCCAGAATCGGCAAATAGTGGACGACGAGGAATTCTCTGGGACGACATTAGTAGAACATGTTCAAGCCACCGAAGACGGTGTTTCAAGATGGTGACACCAATTGCATTGTTGTCTCTGCACCCGAACACATGATGCCGAACCTCTGCATTACTAACATGGTGTTGCCACTGGATGTCAGCAATTCTTCGGAGACAGCGATGATCGAACACAGAGAGTCGTCTAACATCCTTAACTCGGAGAGGCCAGGTTTCACAAGCATAGAGCAAAACTGCTCTCACCGACGCTTTGTAGACCCGACCTTTTACAGCCAGACTGACATCACGAAGGTGCCAAAGGTGGCTCAGATTGGCATAAGCCGCTCTGGCTTTCACTATACGTGCATTGATCTCATCACTCACTCACACCACCACCAGCACTTATGCAGCTACCCAGATACACGAACTTCTCGACCACTTCTATCTGCTCACCATCCAGGGTGAGTACAGGATTAGAATCCTGCCAGTCTTGTACAAGCACTTTGCACTTCGAAGGTGCAAAGCACATACCATACCTACGGACATTGATTGCCAACTGATTAAGTGCGGATTGCATGGCTTGGGCATTCTCGCACAGTAAGACAATATCATCCGCATACTCAAGGTCGAGAAGTCTTTCTCCAAGCAACAGATCCACATCGCCATTACTTATATCCATCAGAGCTGTTTCCAGAATGTCATCGATGGCAATGTGGAAGAGGAATGGTGAGATTGGGCAACCCTGACTAACCCCACTGCTTGAGTGGGACAACGGAGAAAGGTGGTTGTATGCCCTCAATCTACTGTCGATATCATCAGCACAAACATCAGGTGCTGGTGATGCCGTTCAGAAGAACGATGAAAGCTCTACGGTCAAACCACCCAGCTGAGGGAACAAAACTCCATCAAAATCATCCATCTGAGCTAAAAATCTCCGTCATCTCGTAAGTAATCTGGGCCCGGTGATTTATGGCGCTTTAAGATTTGGAGTTTCTTGCGGAATTTCGCCTCATTTGGTGGATCAGTCGTCACCGGCCATGGAGGGTAGGACAGTCTAACCGATGTTGCCGGAGCAGCAGGACAGTTGAACTGGCCTTCGAAAAAGTCTGCCCATGGTCCAAGACGTCGATGGATATCGGTGATTGGCATCTCGTCATTCTCACAGATTGTTCCGCTCACACCAGACTACTTGCTGCCAGTGGCTCGGATGAGTTGGAAGAGCTTCCGGCAGTGCTTATAAATGGATATTTCGCGAAGCCACTGAAAAGTAAGGTAAGATTGGCGCAGACCAGGGTATGATCAGAGTCCATATAAGTACTCCAAAAGGAGCGAAAGTCTTGTACACAATCACATCAGTGGTAGCTGATCGCGACGTGATCAATCTGAGTCCAGGCTTGAGATGCAGAAGGAGGACGCCAGGTGGCACATCGGCGATAACTGTGCCGAAAGTTAGTGCTAGCCAGAAACAGGTTGTGGTCTGTGCACATTTGTAGTAGACGGTCCCCGTTATCTGTCCTGCGAACAACAAGTCCCCATCGGTCACCTAAACGATTCTCTTCTGTGCCTAGACGCCCGACCTGAGTGTTCAAGTCTCCGGCTAGTACTACAATATCTGTCGAACGCCCTTTCTGGAGAAGAACAGTTAACTGGTGTTAGAATTCATTCTTGATTGCATCCGGGCTGCAATCTGTCGGAACATAGGCGGAGATGACGAAAAGACATCGTTTCTCACGCCCATTTCTTCTCACTTTGATGGAACTTTCTAGTCTAACAGCACATAACCGACTGTTAATGGGGATCCAGTCGATTAGTGCTGCCTCAGCTCTAGCGCTTAGTGAGACACCAACGCCAGCAAGACCAGACGAAGATGCCACAGTGTGTCCGGATAAACTCACGTAAAACAAGTTTTTCAAAGTGACAGATGGAGAGCGAATTTGTAGTACTTCACCAGAGTCTTGAATACGGGTCTCGGATAGACAACACACATCGATATCAAGACTTTCCAAAGACATAGCCAGCCCTATCTGTTGTCCGACCTGCATAATTGTGCGAACGTAGAAGGCAGCCAGTTTGAGTGGTGCACGTGGTTTCAGAAAAACTGCTTCAGTACTCGTATTCGATGGTAACATGCCATTTTCAACCAGGCAGTGACTCGAGAACAAAGATTGTGTATAAGGATATAATACAGGAAGAAAGAATTAGTTCGTAGAAAGAAAGACATGAAGCGATTTTAATCTTTTAGTTAAAAGGAAGACGGAGAGTGTATACACCATGAGTTTCTAACCATTGGTTACGATAGTCAAGTGGACCCCAACCAGGTAGTCTGCATCCACTTGAGCTACAAACCCTCCCTACCATCTCAGGAGTAAAACTTGTTAAGGAATCTACCGAATACCTTAAACTCGTAAATAAACCAAAGTAATAAGAGACGAAATATTTTAGCAATATCGGGAGACAGTAGTACTGCTAAGGTATTCTCAAATTACTTCAAAAATTTATACACCACAGAGACATGCTCCCCTTCAGTTCATACAAACCTCCGTATACACACTGGACACTATGACCATTTGAGAATTCGATGACTGGTCTGCTAAATGAGCCTGATATAGGCAAATCTATATGACCCGATGAAATATATCCTAGGTTACCAAAAACATTAACATTTCGTAGCAAATTACTCAAGCATATTATTTAGTCAACCTGTAAGACTGGAACAACGCCATAGTCCTGTCTTAAAAACAGGTACGAAGCAAACCTGAGATCTATCGACTCGTAAGCCTACTCAGAGCGGTTGTTAAAATTTTAGAAAAGATTATTTGAAAGTTGTTCAAATATCTAGACTAAAACCGGATTCTTTCAGAAAAGCAACATGGCGTTAGAACAGGATATACATATCACGCTAACTTATAAGTGGCTCGTGAAAGTTGGTGCGCTATTAAAGCCAAAAGTTATCTATAAATGTTACCTGTTTTGACTATAATTTATGGACGACCTGATATCTATGAAAAACGAGGGCTCTCAACCTGTGTGAGGAATTAAAATTACGTTTTACAGTCGATGATTAACGTTAGATATTAGATTTCCAGCTTTCATCACGAACTGACATCAGCCATAATGCCAGAACTATTTAACCGAATTGGATGAGTGAATTTCGCACCAATATCCGAGGCCTACTATCATATGCCTTATTTGTTCGTCCATTAATTATAGTCTCGCCTCATGCAACAAACATGACAAAGCGAGTATTGTTTGGACGAGATTCAAGATTGACCGAATCTGACTAGATCGTCCGTTCATCGGTTGGCTATATAAGAATGCCTAGTCCGTTAATTTTCTAGGAGTACAAAGATAGTTTCCTGGTACAAAAACAACTTAAGCAGTACACGACACTGGTTATTAAAGCACTGCATATTTACCCGGTTAGGCGTACAACACTGAAGCCTGCATCTATTAAGCGGCGCCAAATTTGAATAAACGGTCATACCTTTTACTTATTAAAACAATTTAAGCTTTTAACAACTTAAGTTTAGTTTTTTTAGACTTTACTGTGATTGATTAATCGAATTTTAATTTATTCAAGTTTTGAGGTACTTGTAATGTCTGCCTCGTTCTAGGACGATATGTGTCAACTGGAGTTGGTTTTCCGCTTTGAGTTCTCGTGAATACGAACTATTTGCTGAAGGTAACCTAACTAAGTTATTGATTTTTTTGCGTTTAGCATTTACTTCTAATGTCTTCGATAGGCTTTTCGTTTTTAGCAATTCGACTAAGTAAAATTCAATGTTTTAACTGTGGACTCGAGGGTAGATGGTTGCGATCTTGTAGATTGTCACTAGTTCATTTGCTTTCACAAACTGGCATTTGTATATTCAGAAAACCCACGCCTTTTCCTGCTCCCGGTATTGGGTTGTTAGGACAACTTACTGTTTCTTCAATCCCATCCCGTCCATAATTTTGTGAGTGCTCATTAACTAAATACGAGTTTCTTAGTCTTTAAAGATCCTTGAATTGTCTTGAATACCCATTACCAAGAGTTGTGGAACGTTAACATCTACCAGATTACTGAGGTTCAATATTTATTAACTTTTTGTACAAACTAGATCATCAATCCTTAACCTCATTGCTGTCATTCTCCACAGAACATTCCTTGCTCGATATATACAGGTTCTTATCTTCCCACTATCCCAGTAACTGGTGACATTTTTACTAGCAACTCCCAGCCATATTCTGAAGTTTACAAACCCTTCAACTTCATCGACTTAGGCGTCTGCGTTACAGCTTGACAATTCGAATTATCATAACGATCGTTATGATAAAGCGAATGTATATAAATATATGGCTTTTTTTACCACGTTTATTATGAGAAATAGTTATGCTTCTAAGCTGCACATACCAAAATAAATGGATCAGGACTCAATTCTGTTATATTTTGGTTGAATACAAGGTGAATAACCGCTTAGTGTTCATCTTGTTACGTAGTACATTTTTTCTTTTCAATTCTCTTAGATAACTAATTTCCTCAGCTTGGATATTTGCTAGCTTAGTTTCTATAAGTAGTCATCACATTTGGATACACTAAGTGATTTTGTGTCCTGGTAGATTTTACCACGATTCTCGTACTCTAAAATCCTCTTGACATTGCGGGTCATTTACTAAAACAGTTATCTGTAAGTAGTAGGGTGATATAAGAAACGTGTAAAGTATCAACACACTATTTTCATTATATATTCAAAGAAGTACTCATTTTCCTCCAAAAGTTTTCTCAGTCTTATCATTTGTACAAATACGGTCTATGCTTTCATCCAATTCAATAAAAACAGACGTTGATAAGTGTGCTATTTTACAGGGCTGCACTTATATGTATAGATGTTACCAGTCAAGATGAAACACTCGTAGAAAATGAAAACCACTGCCTAAATCATGTTCTTCTTACCTCAGTTTATGGAATTTAATTTCAGTCTGGTACATAAATGTGTACATAACCACCGATTCATCTCTGTATACTCGAACTATTTATATTTTCTTGATTTATATGCTGTAAATCCATAGTGCTTCCATATATGTAACGGTAATTAGGATTTAAACTATCTAAACATTTTTCGGTTTTCCGATCGCATTCAACTATAACCTAGTCTGTAACATTCGCTCAACCAATAATCAAGAACTTAAAACCCGGCACAAATATACATCGGTTAAAATTGTCACATATCATAACCAAACCTCGCGCAGTAATCGACTTATCTGGATATTTAAGGAGACAGAGCTCGAAGTCAGTTCCAGTTAAGCAATAAATCTATTCCTAATCTTCCTCTCTAAATTTCTAACGCTATTTCATTCTCGATTCCGCACTTCTTAAACTACGTTTGTGTTTGTTACGCCAGTGTTTCTATCATTATTTCGACTCATCCGACTTCCATATTGTTAAATTTTCGTTGTGCTGATGGGATATCTGCGAACTAAACCAAGTCGTATTTATACCAGATCCCACTCAATGACTGGGCCTGTTTTCACTGGTTCGTAATGCATTCTAATTCTGGTCCCATTTCACAATGTTGTATACTTGTTCCATCTATTCTAGTCAAACATCTCAAAAAATTGTATTAAATCATTAGTTTAAATGCTAGTTCTTAAGTGAAAAGCCATTACATATGCTCCAGTCTGGGCTACTACCTAATATCATTAGCCCTTAAATTGTGTAGCTGATACCCTAATGTATGAGTGTATACTTTATATTGATTCGTAACCGTACTTTTCGTCGTGAAGTAGTAGATACTCCACAAACCGTGGTTTTTTATAGATCTTATCAAAGTAGTTTAACAAGATGCCTATTCCCAAATTCTTAGCTTTAATACTATTGAAATGGTTTTTTCAATTTGTATACGAATTTCTTCATATGTTGGCCACCATTATTATTGTTAACGAATTCAGTTTACAGTGATTTCCTTGATTTGAATAATTCTTTAGAGTATAGCAAGATAATTATTCTAATGTCAACCCACGGACATTTCATATATCTTTGTATTGGTGTGCTTGCGGTGATACTAACGAAATCTGTGTATAGCGATGGCTTGTAAGATGGCGGTTGACGGTAATTTACAGGAAACCCTAGACATAGGTTTTGTGCTACTTGGAACTCGTCAAAAAAGTGTACCTGTAAACTTGAAGTAATTAATACCCCTCAACAGATCTGGACCTTTGTATTCCATGTTTACAGTTAAAGACGTTACCACTGGGTTGTTCAAGCCATAAATGACCGCCCGTCGGGCTGAGATATACCTACAATTGATTGGTCATTGAGTAGGGATCAATATTATGCTTGTGAAACCTGGCCTCTCCGAGTTGAGGATGTTAGACGACTCTCTGTGTTCGATCATCGCTGTCTCCGAAGAATTGCTGACATCCAGTGGCAACACCATGTTAGTAATGCAGAGGTTCGGCATCATGTGTTCGGGTGCAGAGACAATAATGCGATTGGTGTCACCATCTTGAAACACCGTCTTCGGTGGCTTGAACATGTTCTACTAATGTCGTCCCAGAGAATTCCTCGTCGTCCACTATTTGCCGATTCTGGAACTGGTTGGAAAAAGCGGAGAGGTGGTCAGTATATGACATGGTGTCGTGGTATGAAAGAAAGCTGCAAAGGGCTGGCTTGTGTTGGTCCTTCACGACTCCCTGTCTGGGGTCCGAGAGATGGTGTAACACAGTGACTAGAGACGTTATCAGATATGGCTCAGAATAGAAGCCAGTGGTGATTCTGCTGTAACCTTCTTTTACTTTCTTCATAAAAAGTGGTTGCTTCTTCCTTAACTGTAAGATTTCTTCTGATTGTACCTTCCGTTTCCCCCATTATTTTTCTCCCTTTTTTTATAATCCCCTACGTTCCTTACTTTTTTTCCCTTCTTAAATTCTCATTGTTTTGTGTGGCTCATATATATTTGATGCCACCTTGTACCAATATTCATGTGTTCAAATGAATTTAAATAATGCTCAACGCCCCATTGAAAGGGGACCCCAAGACGTGCATCAACTACTTCACTTTTCACGAGCTGGTGGTAATGGCACATTGTAATAAATGTAAAATAAACCTAAATTTGACGAAAGATCTCTCTCTCTCTGTATATATATATATATAGAAAATACTTTTCTTGCTTTTATCCTAAACCGTCCTTCATCTTTGTTTTTAGCACCTCGATGGTATCATCCTTCTCATAGGAAGTTTTGTTCTTTTAGTGTCACAATCTATTTTCTGCAAATTAGTTACACTACCAAATAAACGTTTACTGTATTATTTGACGAGTATCAAATATTTGAATATAGTTGCTTTTGAAACATTGAAGCCATTCAGTTAACAATACTGGCGTTAGTTGTATAGTACCAGATAAATTTGGTAAATCGTTTTGTAGATTTTCGAATCATGAGTAGTAAAAGTGGTTGGCACATTATTCACGCATACCTAGCCAGCACCCACACCGTCTTATTATGCTAGTTGGAATGATATCTCATTCGTTTCTTTTGTTTTAATTTTCCATCCTAACAAAAGAATCTAGGAATTTGAACGAATGCACATTTTTATCAGCTCTTAAGTTTTTTTGCATCGTTTAATTACAACAGAAATATGTGATACATTTCTGTCCCGTATCATAGATTGTTCAGTCTTTCTACTTATCCAGATTTATTAGCCACGGTCTTTTTAGTGCTTAACCCAATAGACTAAAAAGCACTATACCATTAAAACTATGTACGGCTAGCTGTATAATTGTTGTACTTATTAGTCTATTCTAACAAAAGAAGTAGTTGATCAAAAACTAATATGTATCACTCAAATTGTATTTTAGATATAGGCCTACCCATTGTTCACAATTATTTGGTGTTAGTTTACATCTTGCTATCAACCCTGATGATTTTGGAAAAATACTAAATCTTTTTGACATACTAAAGTACCAAAGTATTTCTGCTTTTTTAAGGTAAAGCTGTGGTGTTATGTGCTTCTGTTTTCCAAACTAGGCTCACTGTTTGAGTGGTTTTTGTAATTTTTCTCTTAAAGTACGTATTTTAACCACTTTTAATTAAAATTTATGTTCTATATTTCGTCATAAATACCATTATTACTTTGTTAAAGCCTGTTCACTGTTAGGATTATAAAATACGCCTTTTTACTGTTTGAAATTGTGATCAGCCACTAATTAACATACAGCTCTCAAAATCACTTTTGATTTGCTATAAATCATTTGAAATTTCGCATACCATTTACTTAGCTTGCTTGTTTCTCATGCTTGATAATTACTAGTTATTAAGCAAAGTTGTGTGTTGTTTGAAAAACACTGCAACAAGATAGCAACCGTACATGCTCATTTTCGAAGTTCAATGGCATTTATTGTATGGTAATTTATGTATTTATCCAGCTCGTATAACAGACTTATCTTTAGTCACTGATATTTTTATTAGGTTTTTTAATTATTGTGATAGGATTCAAACGAAAGTTACCGCTGGTATCAACTGAACTATATATATATATATATATAATTAGAAATTTATTGAGAATAGATTCTTTTTAAGATATTACTACAACTTATTTACGTTTCTCTATCATAGGCTACATATTTTTGTCGCCAGTTCATGTTATATGTTATGTGTACTGCATGATCTCTTCTGCACAGATTCATTCTGGCGTTGGATCGATGGCCACTGCTGCTCTGGCTCCAGTGGCTGCTCGTCCACCTTCCAGGTCAGATCAACAACATAATGGAAATATCCCAGAACCTAATCGACCTTTACGTTGGAGGGTGATTGACGACCAACCACATGTTGGAAAATACAGGTTTATACGAACTATAGGCAAGGGAAATTTTGCCAAAGTCAAATTAGCGAGTCATGTTATTACGGGACAACAAGTCGCTATCAAAATTATTGATAAAACCCAGTTAAGTCCTTCAAGCCGCCAAAAGGTAATTGTTTAGTTTCATTTAGTTTCATTCGATAAATTAGCTTTTCCGAGAAGTTAGACTGATGAAATTGCTGGACCATCCGAACATCGTAAAGCTATTTGAAATTATTGACAACGATAAGATTTTATATTTGGTAATGGAATATGCCAGTGGTGGTAAGTTTTAAATTACTTTTCCTCTAGGTCATATAAAATTACCCCTCTCATCATACTACATTTATACAATTTTACTTGGTCACCACAAATTTTGTGATTGATTGACCTATTTATTTATTCTACGAACCAATTTTCTTGAGACAATTTACTGCAATAACGTATTCGACAATTCATTTATAGACGTGACTTTACCTGCTCGAAGATGGTATTTAGCTCTAAGTTATGTCGTGGTTGTAATTGAACCGTCTACTACATTTTGAGGGCTTATGAATTCGGTCCGAATTATCGTTATTTTTCTATTGCATTTGTGGTAAGACAAACGTTGGTTTCACGACCGCAACCAATTTAACACACATTTTACTAATTTTTGACTTGGTATTTTGTTTCGTCATTTATATATGAATGTCGCCCTATTAGATAGGAACTATTAGTTTACATTATTATATTTTGATTATTGAATATTTATGCTACTTAGGGTTGAAGATTCTGCACACTACTAAAATTACGAAGCAGTTCTATTATTCCGAATTTATTTCTGATTTTCCTACAAGGCTTTGGCTGTATCAGAATCCTTTTAGTTAATGTTATTAAATAAATAGATTATTAATAACGAAACTTTATCACATTGGCGTTACCAATCACTCCGGATTCCTCATCTAAAGCAATGATCAGCTAGTTTTCCGAGTATCTAGTCAGTCAGTCAGCTGCAACGTAGGACCAGGCACGTATATGCATCGGTCCAAGTTGCCATACCGCATTAGCACAACAAGATGAACACCGGATTCATAGGAGTAGTTAATTCAGTGGTGGTAATATATAGAAGAAAAATTATGTATAAGGAGATAGTAAAGGAAGAAAGAATTAGTTCCTAGACAGATATGAAGCGATTTTAATCTCTTAATTTAAGGAAGACAGAGAGTGTATACATTGACGCCATTGTGATCGATTCTGAGCCATGTCACCAAGAGTCTCCAACCATTGGTTACGATAGTCACGCGGACCCCAACCAGGCAGTCTAAATCTCCCAACATGGCTCAGACCAGAAGTTAGTGACTTCAAGCACTGATGCCACGTTTTGGTTTGGCCGCCCATGACTTTCTTCCAATTATCCCTAACACCAGTAAGCATTGCGCGTCGTGGTAATCGGTGTTCAGGCATACGCAACACGTGGCCCAACCATCTCAGTCGATGAAGATTCATAACTTCATCAACTGATTTACCATCATTCCCTAATACCCTGCGTCTAACCTCACTATTACTTACCCGGTGATCCCAGCAGATACCCGCAATATTTCTAAGGCACCTGTGGTCAAATACTAGTAACTTACGAATATCTTCCACTCTTAAAGGCCATGTTTCGCAGCCGTATAGAAGGACGGAACGAACTGCCGCGCAGTATACTCGTCCCTTAATTGATAGACGGATATCTCGCCTTCGCCATAGATGACGTGAGTTGGCAAAGGCCAAGCGAGCTTTTCGAATCCGTGCTGAGATTTCGTCAGACACCAACCCATTAGGGCTGATCAGACTTCCAAGATAAGTGAAGTTGTCAACGCGTTCAACTACTTCACCCCCTATCCTTAGTTCAGGTGTTGATGCAGACCAGTCCTGAAGCAACAACTTGCATTTAGAGGGAGAAAAGCGCATCCCAAACATTCTAGCATTGTTGCTACCTTGACGTGGTGGTCGGGCTTGCCTATCATGATGAAGCAACTGAGCTATACTGGCTGGAACAACCGTTCCTCAAGGTCCTACCATGCCAGACAGGTCGGTTGAAGAGCGGTAAGACTAAAAGCAACAAAACCAAGGTCCGAAGGCGAAGTCGTACTGCTGACTGTACAGAGGTGTGACAGCAGTAAGGTGTTTCCTTCAGACAACCAGCATGACAGCGATGCTGCCTTCCCACAAGGAGGGGTGGGGTTAGAAAAGGTCGACCCTAAAAATGCACACCTCGCCTTATCCCACGGATATCCGTCTCCGGCGGTAAGGACTCAACAAGTACGGAGCTAACACAAAAATCACTCATAAAAAAGTCGTGTGTGACCGACCTCAAGCAGCTGTCCCTTGGGCACTGCGGTCACGCTCTCAGGTCACTATGACCAACTCTAATCCAATTTCCTTTTCAGGTACCTCCAGCAGAACCCTTCCACGGTGTGGGCAACCGGGAAGTGATAACCGCCCTCATACCTCTAACAGCACTCAAGACCACTGTATTCATAGTCAACCTCCCTCTTCAATTCCGAGTATCTAAGAATATAAACGATTCTCCCACCAACTTGCTAGATAATACGTGTAACAAATGGAAGTCTCTCGATACTTACATTCTTCTCTAACCTTTTAGCACACCACCTGTCATCGCCTTGTTTTTTCGCATTCGTTTTTAGGTGAGGTTTTTGATTATTTGGTTGCTCATGGTAGAATGAAAGAGAAAGAAGCACGGGCTAAATTCCGTCAAATTGTTTCTGCTGTTCAGTACTGTCATCAAAAACATATTATTCACAGAGATTTAAAAGCCGAAAATCTCCTTCTTGATGCCGATATGAACATAAAACTGGCTGATTTTGGCTTTTCTAATGAATTTAGTCCAGGCACGAAATTGGATACTTTTTGTGGAAGTCCTCCTTATGCAGCCCCAGAATTATTTCAAGTACGTTTAACTTGATATTCTTCAGATTTTGTTGTCACCGGAAAGTTTTCGCTTACTTGTGTACAATAACATAAATTCCTCATCCTTTTTTCCACAAAACTATTTAGGGTAAGAAATATGATGGTCCCGAAGTTGATGTGTGGTCGTTGGGTGTTATTTTGTACACATTAGTCAGTGGGTCCCTTCCTTTCGATGGTCAGACACTGAGAGAATTGCGTGAGCGTGTTCTACGTGGCAAGTATCGCATCCCGTTCTACATGTCAACAGACTGCGAAAATTTGTTGAAGAAGATGCTGGTCCTTAATCCAAGCAAACGATACACTTTAGAGGTCAGTTACTTTAGTCATTGTGCATGACTTAATAAGTCATAATTTGGTTCTATAAAACTATTATTTATGAAGTATTTCAGAAAATGTAAACGTCCTATATTTACACATTTACCTATAAATTAGATGGTGATGAAAGATCGTTGGATGAATACTGGTTATGAAGATAATGTATTGTCACCGTACATAGAACCCGAACCAGATTACACTGATCCTGTACGTATTGAGATTATGGTCAATATGGGCTTCAGTCGAGACGAAATAGAGAAGTCTTTAACTCAAGGAAACTTTGATGATATAATGGCTACTTATCTCCTCCTTGATAGAAGACGTTCTTCACTTGATACAAGTTCACGTGATGGTTCAAGTCTTTCTTTAAGGTAAATCTAGCGTTGTTAGTTATTTATGAAGTTTACACGTAGCAACTTAGTTTTCAAATCCTGGTAGTTCTTTTCATACAATTTAATATAGCTTGAGGTTTTTTTCAACTATATATGTCAAGGTTTCTAGAGCCCCCTATAGTACCACTAATTAGCCATCATTTGACTCAGCACGTAGAACAATACTAACCAAACTTAAACTATTCGGTCTGAACACAGACGAAGATCCGACAAACTATGTTCTTCTGTATAATGTACTAGGCTTGTCTAAGTCACTTGTATTCAACAATTATGCGAAAACACAATTATTTTATTTATTTGAACACATAAATATTGGTACAAGGGGGCACCAAATATATATGCGCCACACAAAACAATGAGAATGGGAAGAGATAAAGGAAGGTAAGGTGCGTACAAGAAAAAAAGGAGTAGAGCAGATCAGTGTAAGGTAGTGTAATAATAATAATGGGGAAACGAAATGGTACAACCAGAAAGAATTATTCCAGTTAAGGAAGTTACAACTACTTTTTATGAAGAAGGTTACAGCAGGATGACCACTAGCTTCTATTCTGAGCCATATCTGATAACGTCTCTAGTCACTGTGTTACACCATCTCTCGGACCCCAGACAGGGAGTCGTGAAGGACCAACACAAGCCAGCCCTTTGCAGCTTTCTTTCATACCACGACACCATGTCATATACTGACCACCTCTCCGCTTTTTCCAACCAGTTCCAGAATCGGCAAATAGTGGACGACGAGGAATTCTCTGGGACGACATTAGTAGAACATGTTCAAGCCACCGAAGACGGTGTTTCAAGATGGTGATACCAATTGCATTGTTGTCTCTGCACCCGAACACATGATGCCGAACCTCTGCATTACTAACATGGTGTTGCCACTGGATGTCAGCAATTCTTCGGAGACAGCGATGATCGAACACAGAGAGTCGTCTAACATCCTTAACTCGGAGAGGCCAGGTTTCACAAGCATAGAGCAAAACTGCTCTCACCGACGCTTTGTAGACCCGACCTTTTACAGCCAGACTGACATCACGAAGGTGCCAAAGGTGGCTCAGATTGGCATAAGCCGCTCTGGCTTTCACTATACGTGCATTGATCTCATCACTCACTCACACCACCACCAGCACTTATGCAGCTACCCAGATACACGAACTTCTCGACCACTTCTATCTGCTCACCATCCAGGGTGAGTACAGGATTAGAATCCTGCCAGTCTTGTACAAGCACTTTGCACTTCGAAGGTGCAAAGCACATACCATACCTACGGACATTGATTGCCAACTGATTAAGTGCGGATTGCATGGCTTGGGCATTCTCGCACAGTAAGACAATATCATCCGCATACTCAAGGTCGAGAAGTCTTTCTCCAAGCAACAGATCCACATCGCCATTACTTATATCCATCAGAGCTGTTTCCAGAATGTCATCGATGGCAATGTGGAAGAGGAATGGTGAGATTGGGCAACCCTGACTAACCCCACTGCTTGAGTGGGACAACGGAGAAAGGTGGTTGTATGCCCTCAATCTACTGTCGATATCATCAGCACAAACATCAGGTGCTGGTGATGCCGTTCAGAAGAACGATGAAAGCTCTACGGTCAAACCACCCAGCTGAGGGAACAAAACTCCATCAAAATCATCCATCTGAGCTAAAAAATCTCCGTCATCTCGTAAGTAATCTGGGCCCGGTGATTTATGGCGCTTTAAGATTTGGAGTTTCTTGCGGAATTTCGCCTCATTTGGTGGATCAGTCGTCACCGGCCATGGAGGGTAGGACAGTCTAACCGATGTTGCCGGAGCAGCAGGACAGTTGAACTGGCCTTCGAAAAAGTCTGCCCATGGTCCAAGACGTCGATGGATATCGGTGATTGGCATCTCGTCATTCTCACAGATTGTTCCGCTCACACCAGACTACTTGCTGCCAGTGGCTCGGATGAGTTGGAAGAGCTTCCGGCAGTGCTTATAAATGGATATTTCGCGAAGCCGTATGCGGCTTTACCCGCCATTTTCATCGCGTCATCCAATTGCAACCAATGCTCATCTATTTTTTCCGGTGGAATGGTAGCTAGCCTAGAAGCTAGCTCGGTTCGGTACTTACTAGCAACAGAAGTTGCAACCAGCTTGCTAACATCAATCCTGTGGTGGCGTTCGCTTCATTGTCCACTGAAAAGTAAAGTAAGATTGGCGCAGACCAGAGCATGATCAGATTCCAGATAGGTACTCCAAAAGGAGCGGCAGTCTTGTACACAACCACGCCAGCGGTAGCTGATCGCGATGTGATCAATCTGAGTCCAGGCTTGAGATGCAGAAGGGGGACGCCAGGTGGCACATCGGCGATGACTGTGCCGAAAGTTAGTGCTAGTCAGAAACAGGTTGTGGTCTGTGCACAGTTGTAGTAGACGTTCCCCGTTATCTGTCCTGCGAGCAACAAGTTCTCATCGAAATTTTTGTGTTTACGCCAAAACAATTGTGTCATAATATAGATTAGTTGATCTAGAATATAACTAATACAATCGTTTTTGTAAGTCTTATGCAATGCAACGAACTGAAAACTACACGTAACTTACGGCTACTTAACGACAGACAGATTAGGTTAGCTTAACTCTACAGTTAACCCGACTCATTCATTCTTAATTCTTTAAAAGATGTCTCACAAAATGGACATATGTTATAATAAGAATAAAAGAAATAAGTAGTGCTTGTTGATATCTGGTCTGGTACAATTCAAAGCTTTACTCCGATTGGTCATGATGCAATACATCATCACATAACAGTTATCCTTTTTATTCGACTTTTCGGGATTATAAATAATTTTTGTCATTGGTTATGGTTAATTGGATAAATATTGTACTCACATCCATAAATATCTCTTATTGCCTGACTAGAATAAATTTTTCTTTAAGTAGTCACTAAGAATGGAAGCTTCTTTAAATAATTAGAGCGACTGAAGTTCATTGTTAGCAAACTATAAGTTGGTTTGTTTTTAGCTACTATTAAAGTAAATTGTGAATGAGAAATATGCAGCCAACTGTGTGTTATTCTTGTTAAGTGTTTTCCAACTAACAATTAATTTCATTCATCTTTCAGGCAAAGTACTCATTTACTTTCGGCTACATCAAATCCTGCAGCTAGTCCACTAATCTCAACTGGTGGTGTTAATTGTGCGAGTGTGGAACATACCTCAAATATTTGCCCAGACGATACGTTGTCTGTTTTACCCACAAATGCTGATACTGGACCAATAAATCAAAACGCACATTCAAGCTCGAAATTTACGGTCAATTCTTCAAGTACCACTCGTTCTACAAGTACAACACCACCTAGTACAGTAACGGTAGTCAATAATGGTGCCAATAACAAGCCAGCTGTGAATATAATCACCCCTTCATGTAATTATATTTTCACTTTTATTAGATTTATTTGATACATTATTGCTGTTTATAATTCTGCAGAATATAGACCACCGACGTATTGTTAGCATACGATTGTTATCTACTTCCTTTATCTCTTTGTCAGCTTGCACTTCTGGGTCGGATAGTTCAGGAACTACAGGTACCAATACAATAACTCCCATTTCACATGTCAATTTGGCATCTACAAATACATACTCATCTTCAAGTGGAAACGCAAACGTTAATTACAATACAGCTCTTAATGCAATTGAGGCATCTTGTCCTTCTAGTAATGTTGAATCAATTAAGCTAATGCGAAATGACCTTGTTCGTGCTTCAGATCGTCCTGGTAGAGAAGAATCTAGCCGGATTTTGGCGCGGTTACGAGGCTTTACTGATGAAATGGCCACTCCAGTTGTTGGTGGGGGTGGGCTTACGGCTTATCCAAATGTTCCAGGCCAACGAACAAGCATTGATGCAGGTACCAGCACAGTTCGTCCAACTACTGCTGGCCAAAGAAAACCCATTCCTATCACTTCACAAGGTTTGGGTGCAAACACAAAATCATCACCAAACTCCAACTCAGCTATGGGTAATATTATTTAGTTCTTTTCTGTTTAAGCTTTGTGTATAATGTCCATCTCTTTTCTATGTTGTCCTTTTTAAATGTTACTACATTATTTAGTGATACTTGTTACTCTCCTGATACTATACTAAGTTTTCATTTCAATAATAATGGGGATACAAAAAATCTTTTAAGTTGACTAAACCTGTATGTTTCAGGTTAGTGATTTTTAAGCTTCTTGTGTCTTGACTCTACTTTAACCACTACTTTTATTCCAGTAATTTGTCATCTTTTTCTTCATTGATAGGTTTTCTTTCCCTTTTCCTCCTGATTATGTCCAACTTCATCGGATTTTAGTTAATTATATTCACTTCTTTTATATAGGAATGTTGTAAACCTAATGTCAATTTATTACCATTATACGTACAGTATTCCTGTGTTTCGTGATGCTTCTATCTCTTAACTTTTAATAATTTGTCATATCTTACTGTGCAGCAGTTCATTCCAATGGCCAACAAGAATAGAGGATATGTTATTAGCATTCGATCATAGGTGTCTTCGAAGCATTGCTCGTGTATTTTGAGACCACTGAGCAAACAATATATGGGTTAGGAATAGTGTACCATTTAAATATGGCAAGTAGACTAATGAGGTGGTAAATAGTACACCCAACCACCGCCTATATTGACGGTCGATGTTTGTGATGTAGGAGTAGGCTGAAAAAAGCTAGGGGCAGCCAGACCGAAATATGACATCAGTTTATGAAGTAATTGATAATTGGACTGAACCATGTTAATAGGTGTAGACTACCTACTTTATTAGTGTCCGCTTGATTGTCGTAACTATTGGTTAAAGACTTTGAATAACATGGTTCGAAATCCTTTTTAGTGGCACAGGTGCATCCACTCTATGTCATCTCCGAATTCAAAGCTTCTGAGTTCTTCATAATTATTTATATTTCCTTGAATTGTATCTTCGATGCCTAAGCTTTTTTACCATCACTGATACTGTTACCGCCTCTACTATTCTTAGATTTGGTGTGGCAATTATTTCTCTTTGTGTTTGTGGGGCATGGTAACTTAAACCGACGTACACACGTACGAGATTCTATGTTGATACTGACTGATTAGTGCTTGGTTGATCCTATTGTGTGTTCTTCATATTTGTGTAGAAATACCTGTCATCAGTTCTAATTTTCATTATTAAACACACAAAAATAACTTAGAAACATACATAAATATATAAGGTTACAAGTATTGTTTGTACACTTACAACTCGAATCCCATAACGTCTATAAACTCACTCACATCTTTCTGTGGTTTTTTTAAATGTATATTCAATAAATGGGAACATGAAGTTGACGACACGTTTTTTTAAGTTGAGAATGACTGAAATAATAAATATTTCAATTTCATTCACTTATCGGGGAGTCCCAGTATCACTCATTTTCCCTTATGGTTGCTTCTGTTTGCTTACTCTTGTCTATACAAATGACAATTTGAATGTAAGACAATTATACCTGACCATAATTTTCCAGTTTTTTGACTGTTAAAACAATTCAAAGCATTAAGTTTCCATTATATCTTTTCGTTTAATGTAGTTAGTCATCTCACCAATTTTACGGTTATTTTTACAACTATGTACCTATTATAAACAAGTCCATTCATTTTCTTCCTCTTTTCTCTTATTTAGAACTGTCCCTCCTATTACATGTAACCATATTTTTTTGTTGTTTTACCGAAATATTGATTCCCACAGTTTTTTTCTCGCTAGTGGGTTCTGCATTTTCAACTATGACTATATTTAAGTCATGCTGTTTATTTACTTATGATTTATATTAGTTCTTATTATTGTAGACTAGTTATAACCTATAAGAAAACATAGAGTTAAATGAGGTTGTTTCGTTGTATAATCTTTATTGTTATTATTTTAATTCAGATGATCAAGAGTTAGGTTCAAAAGTTCTTAGTATGTTGTGATTTTATTTTATAGTTATATTACTTTTTCTCCTACCCAAATTCTCATGTAATTTGCTTTCTGCCCACTAAGCACGCCGTACTCATACTATGAATTATGGGACAACAACCCCAACATCTGGAGATCAACAGCATTCTGTTAGGCGTCAACCGATCAATACAAATGCAAGTGGACGCAATACATGTGTATTTGATAATACTAATCCTAGGAACTCAGTCGCTCTTTCTGGTATCACTGGTCTTTCTGGTGGATCTGCTTTATCACCTTCATCTGATAAATCTACATCTGGGTCATCAAGCGGAAGTGGTAACAATCAAGTTACAACCAATGGTGCTGGAAGATTACCATCTCATGAAATTCGAAGGTTAGTTGTAAATAAATTATCTGGTTCTACATTTTTTCACTTGAATAAATTAATTTGGTTTCAAGCAACAGTGCTTACTTTTCAGTGTATTTTTGTATTTAATAGAGCAAAAATATACTTCCTAACTGGACTTCTTAAGATATCACTATCAGTTTTAAGAATTAATTGCTTGAAATCAGTCTCAATCGTTCGCACGCATTCAGTATATATATTTAGGCGTAATTACTGAATTAAATAGGGAAATGTAAACTTCTGTTTTCCCAAGCTGTTGCCTTTCAAAATATTCATGTAGTTAGTTAAAAATAACTGGGATCAACCAAGTCTATGTTATTACCGAAAATTCGGTTCAATCATCATTGATTATTTTATGAATTTCTTATTACTCTCTCAAACAAAAAAAACTTACACTATTCAATAAATATATGCTTCCTTCCAACATATTAACATTTAAAATTACCAATAACAAACTTAGGTATGTGCAGAATATCACTGAAAAAAGGTGCTCAAGTACATTTTTTAATAATATAGAAATATTTTAGACTTCTTTAAAACTTAATATTGATTTGATTGATGTGTTTTTAGTGTATTATATTATGATGGTAATGTTAGTGATAATCGATCAGACGAGAGGATTTTTCATGCTAATTGTATTTGTGTGTGTTTCTGTTGTCATGTGATGATGTTTATAATTTGTAAGGTCATTATCTTCTATAATTCTTGCGTTGCGTTATACTGTAAGTAAATCTGGAGGCTGACGCACATTTTTGTTACATATATTCACATATTTTATAGAGAACAAAATTTAGTTTTATATATATATATATATATATATATATATACTGTTTATAGTATACACATTTCATGTATATTACTAACAACTCGCTACTAAATAGAAGAGCCATGTAGTAAGAAATGAAGTTTAAAGCAACATGAAGGTTTCAGAGTAAATGCATGCAACTGTCATAGTTTTACACCACATATATTAATAATGTTTTAATTAAAATCAGATTAATTGTGCTTTTCACAAGCGTTCGATAATTTTGTTGGGGGGGTGAGCAGATGTCAAATCCTAACAGCTGTGTTTATTTTACACCATCTATAAATTATATTGACATAAAACAAATGTTCCATGTGAGTCTTGTGTTTGTTTGCTGATCATCATCGCAACAAACAGTGTTTACGATATATGGAAGATTTATTTTTCCTTGGAATTCGAACCACTTTAAGGTGTTTTTTTCTTTATTTATCCAGATTGTCAAGGTATATTGAGGAATGTTCCTGATACCTTTATTACTTCCCTACCACATGTATTTTCGCGAACGCCTAAAAATTACCCATAATGAAGATTAAATCTAATATTTTGGCCTTCCTTGCAGCTTGAAATACATAAAACATTTTCCTAATTAACTGTATTTTCTCTAAAACTGCATACGTGATTGGACCCACTAAAAATAGTTCTGCTACTTAGTTTTAAGTATTTGTTTACCCAATATTACCTCGTTAATACCACACAACCGAGACTCCGTGTCGGGTTCTAGGCAGTTACTCACCTATGACAATGAAAAATGGTCATGTGATATATTAGATTGATTGATATTAGACATCAACACCGTTGGATGCTGGCCAGTGGTCCAGTGGTTAAGCGTTCGCGCGTACAACCGAAGGTCCCGGGCTCGGTTCCTGGTTTCAGGGTAATGGGTTCCCACTGCTGAGAAGTCCCATACTAGGATGAATCAGCCGTTCAGTGCCCCTAGGTTTTCAATGGTGGTGGTCTAACGTTGATCAGTTCATGATTTCAATGAAATTCAACAATCTCTACAACCCCATACTAGAAACATACTATTATAATCTGTGATAAGCATTGTAGAGTTATGGGACAATATTTAGTGCTTATTGAGCAAATAAGTTTAATTCATATAGTGATCTTAATAGTATGAAAAACACCCCTGTGCACTAAGCGATGGCATGAGGGACTTAGTTTAAAGAAATTAGACTACTGAACACTCGGAGTAGGCTGCATATTACATATTACTGCCCCACTGATTGCATCTGAAACCCGTCCTCGTCGTTTTTACTTCACAATTCGTGCGTGTACAAAGGTATTTTCTTGCTAATATGAATGAAACTAACTTATCTTTATGATCACTGCCTATTTTAATATATAATTCACAATCAACAATGAAATAGTTTTTTCCTTTTCGATCTAGACTCACTCGATTCAAAGTTCCAAATGTAGTGAAACAAAACTCAGGTATGGTAAACCAATATGTTGGTTTGTACAAAATTAAACGGTGTCTTTGTATCATTTGGAAATCATACATTAAATAAATCATTTGGATATCTTCCTTCAGTTGTCCTTTATATACTCCATTATTCTTCCAATTCAATTGTTAACCAAATTGCTCCTTGTTTCCCTTCCTCTTCTTTTTATTTTAATCTTCTACTGCTAAGCATTCCACTTCCTATTCCTGCTACATACTACTTATATCTGTCCACATACGAGGTGCACATCACACAAGTAACGACTTATCTTAATTGAAGTATTATTTCATTCCACTCATATTAAGCAATCATCTCAAAGTTTATACATTGTTTTTCCTTGATATCAGCAACAGATGTCTTGAATGTCAAGAAAATTTATCCTTTTCACGGATAATGTCCACTTGATTTTCACTCGGCATATAGTTCATTTGTAAATTACCAATGTGTTTGTCGAAAGTATAGAATTCAATGTTCATTCTTTTGGACAATTCCTATTGTAATAAATCTTATGTGGACCACGTTTTTTTGTGAACTTTCAGCCATGTTACTCCTGCACTTGTTCCTATGACTACGCGTACTAATAAGGTACATCATGGTGCAAATATATCCAGTGGTACTGGTGGTGTATATCATGCAGGTTTATTATTGGAAAGATCTGCAACGTTGAATACCGCAGGTCCTGGTACTGGTGGTAATGGGACTTCACCAAATCAATGTGCTTCTTCCACACGTGGAAGTGATGTAGTTGGAGCTGGAGAATTACATCGTAATCAACCTTGTGCCAATATTGCCGGTCGAAGCGGGTATGTAATTATCCTTTTTTCATCAGAACGAGCTTTACTTAAAATATAATAATCTGAAAATGCTTATCAGTGCTTCTCTTAACTTTTAGATGTCTGTAGATTAAGTGTCCTGCCGACATATTAGTCGAAAGTTCTTCTCTGCTACAATTAATGACATATTTCTTTCCTAACTATTTTGTATTATGGCTATTGATGCCAACTGAATTTTCTTTTCATAATGATGGTTTTCTATTGCAGAATCAACGATCATGCTGTGACATCTTTCAATCGCAACGATTTAACGTATAGTTCACTTAGGTAGGAGTATCTCAATGTTGTACCACTAGTCCAATTAACTCACAATGTATATGTTTTGTTAAAAAACTAATATTCATGCCTTTTGTATCGTTATTTGTTGCGATAAAAATATTCATATCATTTTGGTGTATATGTATTGTTTTGTTTTTGTCCATCTATAAATATTTACTTCACCATTTTACATATAATTGATGATCATATATCTCGTTTTCTTGTCTTGCTTTAACCTCCTTTCTTCACCTCAATTCGGTTTATCTGGGTTTCGATGCACATTTTACATGTTACGTTGTGATCGGATTTCGTTTGATGTAAATATTCATTTTATATCTTTCTCTTTTCACGTTAAATAATTTATTCCTAGACTTTTTATTAGGTGTAATAAATGAATTAAACAAATCTACCGAAATTAGTAAAATAAACTTTGATTCTTGTATGGTTACTGTATATGGTCTGATTCAGTTCTATAATATTCATCTCTCTAACGTGCAAGTTAGGTTGTACAGTTATTATCAAATATATTCAACTTGTTTATTTACGGTCTTTGTGAAAATTGATCTTCTTATCCTAACTTATAAAAGCTAACTTCCTGATACCAGTCGTACTTAACTCACTTTTGTGCCGAGTATATACTGGCAACTTAATAAGTTTATTTCTAGGGTATTTAAAATGGAACATTGTCTAGTATTCTCACATGTAAATTTGATCCTTGTAAAATGTTTATCTAATTTGCATGTTCAACTACAAAATGTCAGTGTAGATACTACTTACATAAATAGCTAAATTAGCTGTACTTTACATGAAATATCGTTTCACTTATAAACATAAATTTATACTGATCATTCTTAATACCACATAGTTAACTTTCAACAACTAATTCCCTACTACTTTTCTCCCGAATGTTCATTTTCAAAATACTTTATTTTGGTTGGAAGCTTGAAACTGTTCCGTATATTTGACAAAGGTTTTCATGGCTTATCGATAACCTCTTAACCAATCACTAATGACAACATGTTGCACCGTTTTTCCATCTTCCATGGTCAGTTACTGGGACCGACTCTAGTGTAACGAATAATGCTGGAAAATTATTATCCTTTTTTATTCTAAAAAGCTATAACCCCCATTCTGAATAAGCTTTGAAACAGATTCCCGAAAACTATCATCAATTCCCAAAGCCTGCTAAAAATCTACTTGCGATATCTCACTTCTGAACTATGTATTGCGAGCCACAACAAAACTAGTAACCGTCTTGTGTATATATTTATACGGATATTCGTCAAGATTAGAACAAATAGTTTGACAGATATTGGGCGCTGAGTATAGAGAAGTCATTATATATGTAAATTATATTTGAAATAATCTCAGCGATTGAAATTCAAATAATTTCAACGTTTCGTCCAGCTAACTTGTCTGGACTTCTTCATATGATTTTGATTCTGATTATTACCCTGAAGAAGTCCAGACAAGTTAGCTGGACGAAACGTTGGAATTATTTAAATTTCAATCGCTGAGATTATTTCAAATATAGTTTACATATATAATGACGTCTTGTGTATATTTTCGAAGTCCAAGGTTTGTTTGTCTGTTTGTTATTGTTTTTGATAAATTTATGTGAGCAGCTTTCGTTATTATAGCTTTAGATTTATTAGGAAAAGGTCAAGAATTCATCTTAACAACTCCCGCTTACGTTTTGATGCATAATGGTGTGTTCGTGATTATGAGGCTAATTGTTCGCTTTCTAACTTCAGTTGAATACCTGTAGCAACATGGATTAAAACTATTTTCAAAGCTCCGCAGTAACCGTAAATATTTAGCATTTTATTTTTCTATGCTTATATATACCTCGATTACTCACTTTTCGTTTGAAACTTGTCTGGTATATTATTAAAGTATATTATGTTATTAACCTAGGAACTCTGTGAAGTCCGTTTTAGACAATTTTTTTACTTAAAACTCAATGGAAAACGAATAGAGGACAGGGCTAATGACATTCGATTATAAGTATTTGTGAAGTATTACTCGATTAAAATACGGATTGAGTCATGATTCAAACGAGTCGATCATTAACTGCAGTTGTATTTATTTGTTCATCGGTTCGTCTTTCTACCCTCCAATATTTTTCCACTTCTCTCTGTTTCCTTGATATTATTAGCAACAATGTAAACTTGTCATGCATCAAACCATAATTGTTTAGTTTCAGTCCGTGAAACCCGTCGGTGATGTTACTGCTGCTATTTATAATTATTTTGGTAAATAGAGATTGGCTTGTGTATTGATCTTCTCATTGTTTTCTTGAGTAGGATCAGTTTTTATTTATCACCAGTTATCATAATCTAACTGTAATAGTTAAATAAGGTTGGATGTGTTTCTGTTTTGTTACTGTGGCGATTTAGAAATTGACTCCTACTGATAAACCATGATCCAAATCGACTTTCATTATGATTGATTCCTATAGTTAACTACAGCTTTACTATTTGTGATAGTTACAGAAGACTTCACAAATTGATATCAATCAAATTTTGTATTCTCAAAATAAATAGCATTAACTTTCGATTATTCGATATTTTAATGAATTCAAGACAGTCCTTCGCCCTCATTTTATTTTTGCACTGGTGTTTTTTTTTGCCCATTAATTTATGCTCGTTTATATAGATATACATTAGTAATCAATACACAGTTATCGTATATTAGTTTTAATTTGATTTTGTATACTATTTTTTTATTTAATGCTACCAAAATGTTAAAAATAAAATAAAATTATGAAGACGAACACTTACACTTCTGTTATTATTATGACTGAAAAGTGCATATATATATATATATATATATATATATATCATCAAAAGAGAACAATGTTATTTGTAAAACTGCAACAACCCATGAATTATGAGTCTTTTGGTGATCAAATAAAGGAAACATAACATTAAAAATTGTATCGTCTCCACGTCCTAACGATGATAATCAGATATCTCATTGTCGCTGATTTGTTTGAATTTATTTGCCATTCCGTTCATTTTTATTATTTAAGTACCAAACTCCCGCCGTAGAAATAATTAAAGTTTGACTTTTCTTTTGAATGGTAACTGCTTAACTTCATTCATATCAATCATTATTTTAAATGCTAACTCTTCATTTTAAATTGTTGTACCTTAAACTAATTTACTCTGTATGTGCCAACTTCACATAATTCAGACAAACCAAACGACTATTATTTCATTGGAGTACAAAATAACATTGAGTTATTTGATGTTTTAAGGTAAACGTTTGAGTACTCATAAACGCGGATTATTAAGTTTATCATAAAACAACTTTTTACAGTTAGTTTTTACTATCATTTCTTTATATGCGATGACTTGTTGTCCTTTTGTGCATGATCTTAGTGATAATCTGATTTGTTTTCAGTTCATTCAAACAATGAAGTTGATTTTATTTAATATTTAGGTCAGTTTTGTGTTCATGTGTTTGCACGTTTTTGATTTATATGGCTAGATGATAACTATATTAAAAAATTCTTACTTGACATTTTCGAGGGATAGCGGATTTTTATTCAATGTGCAAATGTTTTCGTTTTATCAATGTCCGATTTTCAACACATTAATAATGTAGTTCAATACCACCTTTCCAAATTATATATTTGATTTCCTAATCTACTATTTATCCTTTAATGAAAACAAATTTTTAATTCTATTCCAGAGTGGGTACGTCAACTAACCAGGCGGGTTGTAATACTACCTCTGTTGCTGCACGTCGTGTAGTTACAAATACCAATAATAACACGTCTTCTGGATTTAACAATGGTATAGGAACTATCTTAGAGACTACACCTTTCCCTAGGCTTACACCAGAGCGTAGAACTATTCATTCAACAAATTCACCAAACATAGACTTTGATTTCGATACAAATAATCAGAATTCTAACAACACGGTCGCTGCTCGTTGTATTAATGTTTCACTTGCTGGTGCTGGGGCTACAAATAGTAGTGGTATGACTCACTTAACTCCTTCTGGCACTGGTCTTACATTCTTCAAGGCACTTACTTCCAAAATCGGTCGACGGTAAGGTGTTCTTCATTCATTTTATCCTGCTGAATCATGTCGTTTAAAATTACTAGCTGTTTTTCCGGGTATTCAGTGTACATAATAATCTTACAGTATGATATAAATTTTAATGTCTTGAAAACTTACATATTCCATCTATAAATGATTGTAAGGATTAGACTTTGCTTCGTATCAGTTTCTTCAGTCATTCCTCCTTCTTGGTTACCTTCTAGTGACATTAAACACTTTTCATCCTCAACTATACAATAATGAGTAGTAGACTGATGACTTAGTGATTACCTCACCTAACTTTAATCCATTGCCTCAGTATGGCAGCGTCATAGTACTAACACCTCACAAGTCCGTTATATCAATTCTATAGCAGTTCAATCGACACTAACACAGAGTAATTAGAATACTTTTTTGTAAGTTTTTCACATTCCTTAGTGTCAAAATTTGAACATTTCTTCATTTCATGTAGATAGGTGTATATCTACTGATTACCTCCCACCTCGAAGTAGTAAATAAACTTGTACAACCTTGTTTGTTAGTTAGCCATGGTTTCATACTAGAATTTTGGAACTATATAGTTATATGATTACCTTACCGAAGAAATTATTTAATCTATTAGACACAGTCATTTAATTTAAGAAGGACTGACAATTACAACTCACTAAACATCCGAATTGGAAATCCTCGTTTCTAAAATGAAGTATCTTTCGACTAATGGATTGGTGAACAGGTTCAAAGTGGGGCTAGAAACGATGGATAATTCAGGTCATGTAGTCTCCTTTCTCAATAGAACAGCTGAATTTTACTAGTCTTAGAACTCGACTCTTAATAGTTTGATTTGTGTGCTTAAAACTGTTAGGTAACAGGTCTTTTTAAATTCTAAAGCGGGTTAAAATGTTACCTGAATTTCGTGCTTTCATTACTTTTCAGTGATGAAATAAGTACTGTATTTGTCTTATTGTCATAATATATGGTTTAATAAGTCTCATAATGCCGTTTTTGCTTTTTAGTGGACCTAATAGTGGTGCAATGGGCAATGTGTCTCAGACACTTACTGGTGGCACTGATGTTTCACATGTTCCATTCTCAACGGCGGATTCTAATATTGGAGCTTCCACAACCAGCTCGGGATCAGGTTATCTACCTGGAGATTCAGTTTTTTCTGACTCCAGTGTACATGGTGCATACACTGAACCTGTTAGTCAGTTAACACCTGGAGGTAGCTCTGCTGGTTCTCCTGTTCCTCAAGGCGGGAATCAAACTGTTCCTCATACTGATGATAATGTTAATGACCAAACGAAACCACGAAGTTTACGTTTTACTTGGTCTATGAAAACAACCAGTAGCATGTGCCCGGATAACATGATTAAAGAAATCAAGAAGGTTCTCACAGCAAATAATTGCGAATATGATCAACGTGAAAGATACCTTCTCATATGTGAGCATGGAGATCCAAGCACAGATGCGAATGTGCAGTGGGAGATGGAAGTTTGTAAACTTCCTCGTTTGTCTCTAAATGGAGTTCGTTTTAAAAGAATTTCAGGAACTTCTATTGGATTTAAAAGTATCGCCTCCCAGATCGCTAACGACCTCAAACTTTAATCAATAACACTTTCGTTTGCATACTGATCTGTTTTATATCCCACTCCAAATGAATTTATTTACTTTTCTGTATACTTGAAGTGCCAGATTACAACTATGACTGTGAAAGATCTTGGATAATATCAACACATGCTCAACGGTATAGTTTTTACGCAGTACCTCTCGTTTTTTTTCAAAATACTATGCTGGGTCATAATATCTTTGTTTCGATACAGCCCATAATGACATGTTTTTCGTGATTGAAAGTGTGTTCTTTGTCTGTATGCGTTTCACATATACGCATTTGTACAGGCCTAATAATCACTTTACATGTGTGTAAATCTTTTCTGTCAGATCCTTAACATTGTCCAATTTGTATTGTAGTGGTTATTTCCGACCAAATTTTATTGACACGTTTGTACTTTCCAATTCTTTCTTTATTATTTCCTATATATTCACTCCACTCAACAGCATCATTCGTTCTTAGACTTCTGATAATGTCCTCAGGATTCCTTATCTGAACTTTTCTGTTAACATCTGTAATGAAATATCTAAGCACACTTGCTTCTCATTAATGTGCGTGTATGAGAAGCATGTCATCTAAGTAGATTATGACCATCCCTGTTTCACTTATATGTATTTTTGTATTTCTAATTGTCCCGGCTGTTTCATTTTTGCTCGTTAATTTTATGTCTACCAAATTGAGCTATGGAAATTTATGTAAGTTATTTCTTAGTCTTTAGTGTAGAACCTATGTATTCGTATAGTATTGTTTTTCATCCCTTCAAAATGATCTCTTCTGTTAATCTCACTACATCTTTTCTTCTCATTTATCGTGCAGTCATGTCACCTTATTTGGAAAGTAGCAATTTGTCGGTTTTATTTTTTCAGTCTGTTATCATTCTTATAATACTGTTTTCTCCTAAGGGTCGTCTATCTCTACACTTTCAATACTTCATAACAAAATACATAATATAAGCCTTTCCAATTGATGCTTTGTTCCTTTCTGCAAGTGGATCTAAAAATGCACAATAACTAAAACTGTGTTACGTTTTTGCCTTTTACAATGCATGCGCCATCGCCTGTGTACACCGTTAATAATTCCTAAGGAAGCCATGTAAAACGACTGTGTAAGTCCCGTATCAAATGTTTCATTTTTGTCTTCGGGAATGATATCAATGTAATTACTAGATATTTACATTCTGTTCTAAATTGATTTCTCTTCTTGGTTCTTTTGTGTAGTTTACCATATTCCTCACCAATAATCAGTCATATATATTCTGTGAATAGATTTATTGCGTTCAATTAGTAACATCCATAATTATTGTTATTATTAATGATGGTCTACTCCTATTGTTTCTGAATCTCGCTGTTAATAGTAGTACTAATAATAATACACATGACTAAGTAACTAAACACATTTCAATCTATTTGACCTCTAACATATACTCTTCCTTTCAAGTGCATTTTCCCAAATGTACAAACCCTATACACACAAGAATTTGTTTCAATGTTTATATTTTGTTAACTTCCTTCATCTTTTGTTCGCCTCGTTTTTTCTTTATATTAATTATTATGTATGTTTTCGATTTGTGATAGGGTGATTCCATTTAATTCTTTGAATACGTTCTGTTCTAGATGTTTATTCTAATGCAGGTTTCACCTTTATTTCGTTATGCAATGCAGTTTAAAAGATATTTTAACTTAATGAAGTATTGACAATTATTTTAAATTTATGCGGAAGTTACTTTGTGATATTGTTGCTGTTCTCTTTTACAAAATTATGAGTTATCTTTTCTGCCATGAAACCTAGCTCCATAATGTGGTGTGATTTATTTCATACGTGGTTATACACTTTTCTCACCTGCACTGTTTATTATCTCATCTATCTGTGTATATGAGTAACTTATGGTAAAACCTTACTGCGCTAACACTGTTCTTATGGCGGATGATAATAATAATGGGTTTTTGCCGGTGACTTTTTGCGAAAAGGATAAAAAGAAGCTTGCTTTCTTCAATCTTCATACTGCTATGTATCACCATTTCTGTTTTGCTTTTCCTTAATTAAATGTACCCTCTACAACTTGTGTGCAAAAATCATTATACCTTGGTAAAGAGAAAAATCGGTTTAATTTACTCATGATTAACATTATGAAAAACTTTTATACGTAATAGATTATCTCTTCTATATCATGCATACATTTAAATTGTTACGTCCAAATGTTCGCTTATTCACTATCTTTCGTCTCTCTTAAATCGTTTGTGTCCCTCATTTAGTTCAAAGGAGTTGTTCCTCCAACTTCATCTTGTATACCTACTTTTAAGGGCTACATTGACTTTACACACATGCAAACGTACGTATATGTGTATGAATCATCTGTCCAACCTTATATATATCCTAACGTATTTATTGAGATTCTACGGCCACGTGATCATTTCAATGCACTCGACTGTGTAGAATTCCCACTACAGACAAATGAAACTAGTGTTTAGCAAAATGACTTTTTTCATATTTTATTTTTTTGTTAGTAGTTCACTAAGTTGTACCTGCTCATTTTTAGTCATGTTGATGATGACATTATTGACCATCCCGTTTTTATTACGGTTTCGGACGCTACTAACTCAAAAGTACGCTTAATCTCTTATTAATAAGTGAATAAATTACTTGCACTGGTGATCATTACACAGCAAAGATTAGTTTACTATAACTTAAAAAGAGACAATTCTAAGCATAGTCCATTTTACAGCTAAAAAAGAAATTAGTTATTCGATAAACTAACTATCAGAAGTCTTACTTGAAACCGGTAATTCAAATATGTAGATCAAATTCTTGCTGACATTTAGAATTACCGACATAATTTATTGTCCCAGATATGACCTACCAATTCCTATGTCCGTCATAATAGGTCTTTCTGACTCAAGATCTATCATCGCTTCAATCATACAACAAATGCTTTAACGAAGAAAATTTTCAATCATATACTGCTTAAAACGCGATTCTACACTCTAAATCAAAGTATAAATGAGTCATCTAGCTTCTGTTTATATAACGAGCACCAAACGATTGTTTTTCGTATTAGGTATCATGATGTACCCTTGATACTGAAGTCACCTATATTCTACTTACAGTGTATATTTTGTATCAGTTTTCAGTATAACGTAAGTTTGCAAAATCTTGGAAGTTTTTGTGTGACAATTAGCAATTAGAATTCACCATTCTGATCGTTCCAAACAAGTAAATTATGATGCGGAGGATCAAATAGAAACGGGTTATAAGCTATGGCTGCGAATTCAGTAGTCTAGGAAAATTTGTTTCATACAATTGTTTGACGTAATTTATCCAAGTGCAAAGTTAATTCCATTCACGTAAAACCCTATGAAACTGTATTTCGATCGCTATTATGTTAAAATCCAAATAACGTCTGTCTAATATAGTTTAGTGACACTAGATGTTTATTGAAGGTTCCTTTCTGAGTTCGTAATTCTACTTTTTTTCCACTATAAAGTTGTAAAGTAGGATCAAATAAAACAACCTAAAGGAAACGAGGTATTGCTTTTTTCATTTCTTTAAAAAAGGTCGAATAGTGTTTTCATTTTCCAATAGAATTTATGTTCATTTCCTACATTTAACTTAGAAATAACAGTTCATCTATGTTACATAAAATAGCACCACTTTCCAAGACGTTCTCGCTTCGTCCAACTAATATTTCGCGGTTGATTTCAAACTACTGACTTGTTTGATTTTCTTACCTAACCTGTTAGTCAACTATCTCAGTGCAGTTAGTAGATACTGTCAATTGCCCAGGTACGACAGCTAACAGATCTTAATATTTCAGTCATTCTAACTTCAGAATCGTTTTTATATATACATACTTGGTAATCCTAGTATAAAAAGCATACTGCCTATAAAATTCATATTTTTCTACTACCTCACATTACTAACGAAATACAGTCGGAAATAAAAGTTCCATTTTGTAAACAATTTACAGAACCCAATCATACGTATGTAAAAAGAAATGGAAGAGTAGATTCATAACCAAAAATTCCTACGATATTACCAAAATGATGTAGGTAGGGTAATTTATTAATGGATACTTTCCCTCTGATTAGTAGAATGACTTCAGCATAACATTCATCTATGCAGTTGATGTTATTTCGTGACGAAAAATTTTGAATATTTATTGAAAAACCAACCATCTTGTTCGTGAAACAATATTCATTCACAGAATACAAAAAAAAAACTGGTAGAATAACAGCATCTTCGTATACACTTTAAAATTCCTATCCAGACCCAGGTGACACCAATCGCTTAAGTCAAAGACCTATCTAAGGTGGAACTTGTGACATCTAGGTTCTGTAGTAGCAACACAAATTTTCTTCTGGTCATTAGTCCTTTTTATTTGTCCTATCGAGAAAGTTTAAACATTAATTGGTTGTCTCTTGCTTATTGTATCCATCTAAAGTCGATTTTAGCTGAGTGGGAAAAAATACATGGTCAAGTTGCATGATGGCTAGAAACATATCTCTCATTTATATGAATGTCACAGTATACTTAATCGGATATACCTTATTAATGTACTACAAAAATGTATATATTCCTTCTAATTAAATGCTGATTGCGCAAAATAATGTGTATCACTGTTGTATTTTGTCCTATTGCCTTTATCATATGTCTATCCCTTATAGTGATCCTTATGGTCACAAAAAACAAATGTTTGTTACAGGAAGAGTATATTCCGTTGTTGGCAAAATCTTGTTGATATATACTATCTAAACAAACTGGATTTCTGCATCTTTATTGGAATTTCATGGATTTCCTAGTCGTTTATTTAGTGACGACTTTAAACCGATTGTATTTCACTTCAATAAGCTGATGTTAAATTTCTAATCATCCGTTCGTAATCTGTACTTGATCAATCGCGTAATGAAGAATAGTGTCTGAATAAAACAGATAAGGTGACAATACTGAAGTAGTATTCTTCATACTTACTAAGTTAATCATGTATATGCATATGTTCGTTCAATAGACTATTAGGTGATATAAAATATTCCCAGATAGCGTCAATCAACTTGCTTCACTATTATAAACAATTTTAAGTTGTTCAGCAGTTAATTCATCTAGAATCCATTCACAGTCATCTTCAAACATACGGCTCGTAAATTACTGTACGAAAAATGCTAATATCTAGATTGTAAGCTGCATTTACCATAAATTACTATAAAGTATGTGAGTAAACGTAGTCACCGCTGATAAAAGTCTAGAAATTATAAACTTAATTCAAACTTGCAGATCTTCATGTCTTTACTTGAATCGTTTAAAAAATCTGTGATGTATCAGCAATGAAATAGCGTACCAAATAAAAGTCATTAATTTTTCATAGTTCTAAAGTATGTAACTATTCCTCCATCATCACATTTGTCACCAACTGAGCGTCTGAAATTTTCGCTCTACTCTCCGTTTATGATCACGAATATCCAGGTATTTTACAGAGAAAATACTGGCATATATTTTAAGAATAGATTAAGTTAATTGGTTTACAGCCTTCCCGAAAAAATAAATTTCATGATGCTGAAAGTTTTGCAGAAAATAGCTTGATCATTCAGTTCAGAGTCCGAAACCGATTTCGCTGTGTTCATGTTTTCCCAAACTAAGTTTCGACATTTTTTACGGGATTGATAATCCCTAGCTTTAATTTAAATTGCTTCCACTCTTTTTTAGTTGGATAATTATTTATGATTCGGCAATTTGCTTTCATTATAAAACAAATAATTAGAATGAATGAAGTATTTGGTTTGGTCTGCTATAATTTCTACTAATGGTAGTTTTTGTAACTGAACCCTAAACCTCCAATCCAATTAGATATGACCTTAATATGTGATACATTTGATCTAATAATTCATTGATTACTTTCCAACCATCTAGATTGTTTTCATCAGATAGTGATATCATTTGGAAAGCTTGTGAAAACCAGGAAGATTTGCTCAGTTGTTATATTTTAAATTTTTATCTATGAAGTTACTTCAAAACGTTATTAATCACAGGAAAATTACATCCATTTCATAGTTTAGACCGTTTCATTTTGATTATGAAAATCTGTGTTTACGTTGATTAAGTTTACATCTTTATTTAACCTAAACAGAAGTACACATCAAGTACCACATAATTCGGAGTCTAATAACCAGTTCATTAAACAACATTGCAAAATATTTTCTACACTGAAGAAAACTAGAATTTTTAGTTAGAATCAAGGCAAATAAGAAACTGACTAGATTTTTGTTGATCACTCAGTTACAATTTTAAATTAATATTTGCTTGTACTTTTACTGTACTTAAATGTCACATATGAATTCCATTTCAGTTAAGCTATAGATAATATTTCCATAATGTAGCTAGCAAGCTAAGTGGTTCCATGTACTTTGATTTTAGATATATAGAGCCAGTCATTTGGAATCCTTGAACCTAGATTTTTCACCGTCCCAGATATTTAAAACCAGATCATCTAGTGAATTAAACATCGACATTCCCACTCAGCCAATATCAGGTATGAATGACTCGTAAGACTGGATTAACTGCACTAATCGGTCAATGAACGATAGTGAACAATGTTGTAAATTCAAATCCAAAGTCCCATATAGCCCAAAACTTATATCTAATAATTCCTACCAGTTACCTCCAGTTATGTTAATTCTCTATTATCCACATGGTTAATTGTTCACAACAAAGTGGCTAGTTGCAGTGATTCATTCAGATGTATTAATTCATCTGGTGCCATTCAGTAACAATCAATGACATCTATTTTCTCTTGTTATTATCCAAAATAATTAATAAGACGTTTCAAATTCCTTCGTTAATCATGATCAACTTTATTAATTATATTAATTTTATGTACACATTATTTCCAGTATGTTGTATTGATTTCAACACTGTTTCATTTTCATTCTACAATCGTAATACAATTTTGATAACGTGATCAAAGTATTTATTGATGTCTCAGTTTTTTTTTCCTTTTTTATTGAATACATGTAAACAAACGTTTTTAATTAAATAAACTTGAGTGACATTTTCTTTTCAGTTTTAAAAATACATGACATACATGTACGTTACCTGTGGTTAGTGAGTTACAAATTATTCACTATAATGTGTTAAGTTCTTGAAATAGTTCCTCTCATTTTTTTAAATATTAAAGTAATTAAATGCATCATTTGATAAAACAGTCACAAACGTATTATAAATGGAGATTTTACTTATTATGATTTTTATCGATTAATAATAAGAAACCAAATCGGTTTTCTGATACACTAATAAATAGAATATTGAAAATTAATAAGTATCACTGAGCAAATAGAGTTTGTCATTTAATGCATGCACATACACACATTATACCTATATCTAGATTTCAAGTGACTAAAAATAGTCAGGAGCAAACTGTGATCAATAAAATTCAATCAGTACTAAGAACCAAATAAATAGTATATTAGTTACTACTCAGTGATCAATCAATTGTAATTATTTCAGTCTTACAGGAGTTGAATTACAGAACAACTCTGAAGTTTTGTGATGAGAGTTCGAATCCCATAGAAAACATCAGTTCTACGTAAACCTTATTGACGAATAACAACTGCTACGAAATCTGGGTTAGTAGGGTGTTTTGAAGACTAATTCTAACCATTTAACATATAAACGCAATCCACGCGATTTAGACTAGTGGCTACATTGCAGTTTCGTCGATAGAATTCGATCATTACGAAAGACTAGGCAAATATTAGTTACTACTCAATAATCAAGCACTTGTAATTTCCTGTTTTTACATACCGTTTTAGTATATTATTGATAATAATAAATTTCCATTCGGAATCGAATTTCAGTACTGACTGATGTCAAGCGCAGCATCACTGAATACTATAGGAAATTGGCTGTTCTTCAAATAATACCAATCAGTTAAGAAATCGTGATTCAAACTCAAATAATCTCCACAAATCTGTAATCGAAATCTCATAGTTTACCACTAGAGAAATTTTATCGACAATTGCTGAACAAAATTACTTGCACTCAATAAAGAATATCGTTTAACAAAGACTAAGCAGACAGAAATCTTTGAAATTTTAACAGATGTTTCTGAGTTTTGAAGTCATTAATTCTGATCAAATCCAAGTGTATAGTGAATAAAGTTCTTTACGAAACAACAATTGATTTAAACTTCCATGGATATCAACTGTGATGTCTTGATCTGGCTACTTTTTGACTTTCTCTAACCTTTATTTGGTAGTGATGGTAGAAATAAGTTATCTGATTATCACTGTTCGTTATAATAGACAACAGCACAGGATTTGTAATTCGTGTTTCAATCAAATCTTCTTAAGACTTAAGAAATCTTCACTTCGGTATTTTTTTAATTTTTACTACTGCTCCTGGCATTTGTACGATTTATGGAGACGAATGTCACAGTTTCATGGGAACTTTTGTATTTTTAGTTAATAAGTGAATAGAATGGTTTTAACCATACCTTGTGTTGCTTCACATACTATTACCATCAGTTTCACTAAACTTATTCGACCAAATACTCTACCAACACATCATGCAATAAGGTAATTACATTTATCTGACCACTTCCTGTTATGTAACATGGATTTTTCCTGTATATGTTGGTCAGTTGCACTAAAAGGACTGACTGTTATCACAAGTTCAATTTTCGTAGTTTAATTGTTCATTTCACCATTATTATTATTAAAGTTGATTTCAAGCATAATTAATCCATCGATTTTATGTAAAAGATCATTTTACTTAGTATTAATGAAAAAATTGCTTTATTATTTTTAATCGATATATTTTAACTACTATATAATATAACCTCTGACAGCTTACTGTATAACTATACATCAAATCTCTCAGCTTCTTAATAGTTAATTAAGCAGTTCCATCAACGATGGAAAAAAAATAAATTGAAACAATACAATAAAGAAATATTATCCTTTAAATAAACTAATCTCTATACGTTCGTAAATAATTATTGAAAAGTATTGGTATTGGTAAAATGCTTACAGTTCATAAGGTAATGTAAATAAACTTTTGATTTAAGAGAAGATATTCATATAATTGCTAGTACTTTACTAATTATACAAAATGATTTAATTTTACTTCTTTCAAATAGCTTAGACAAACTTTAAGTGGAAATCTTTTAAAAGGGAGCGGATGATCCTAATTGTTGAAATATTCTATATCGTAGTCATATATCGTTTTATTTTATTCGAACCAAACAGTCTGCATATTGTTCACGAACACATTTTTCAGGCAAGCGTAAGGTACAATTTGTGTACTTAGCTCCATAAGTGTTAGGCCGAATAGTTCGCATTAGTATATTCCAATGTGTCAGTTGACTTTTACTGCTTCGAATAATGAGTTTATAGTAACTAAAAGCAATCCGATTGTCATAGAGAAGTATGTACTCAATGATTACCGCTGTACGATGACATTCCGCAACAGTGTCTCCTTTAATTATTTTGCTTGATCTATAGACTCACTTTAAAGAGAAATAAAACAAATCGGAAAGATATAGGCTTCATACTAAGTAACAATTGCCATAGCACATCTTTACCTCTACTGAACTAAGCTTACCCTAGAGATTAGAATTTCCACTACGCACTTTAGGTATTCACAAGTGTAACCGAAGATATTCGAAACATCTGTAAAATAATAATTTCCTAACCGATATGGTCATGAATACATTTACATACCTATTCGGTTTTCATCGTTCTTATGTGGAACCACATGGCAGATGACATTTAAACTAACACTGGAAACTCCGCCCATATAAAACTTAAATTTGTAAAACAATAAAGCATGGAAGCATTTCAAAACTGCATAGCATAAATCAATACTTTCACATGTTCCGCTATCTTTTTATTTATACAACCTAGTTATGGAGAAAATGTATGCTTGTATGGGTTTGTGCGTATATGTGTAAGTGACCTCCCATTTTAAAGTATATTTTCAATGAGGCCGAAGTATCTACTATCATTGGCTATCTAATCGTTCAGTAATGACCACTACTTTAACTGAATGTTTTTTGAAATTTCAAAATCGAATTTCTCAGGCACAAATACTTTTTAAATAAACCATATATCTCACGTAAATGAGAGAAATAATAAACTAACAATTTCTACGGATTTTATTCATTTCCGTACCAAGAGAACTACTAGAAGCTACTAATAACTAAATTACGATGTCTCTTTAATTATTTGCTGTTCTATTCAACTACTTTTCCAGTGAAAAACTGAACTCGAGGTCTTTAACCATACTTACTTTACAGTCCATAATTCTTTGTATATAAGCAGTCTATTAGATTCCTCTATCTTTAATAATGTTCAACCCCATTTTTACCATATCTTTCAGGTACATAATTGCCTTCTTTTATTTATCATTCTTAACTTTTTTCAAAATTATAAAATACTTTTTGCACTGAGATTTGTTAATCATCGTTTATATTGTTTTCACTTCATTTGAATTTTGTGTTATCCAAGCACTTTCCAATTATTACCCTGACTGTTTATGCTACTTCGTGATACATAACATGTAGCGCAGAAAAGCAAAAATGTAAGATAAAGAAAACTGGTGAATTAACATCAACTGTAAATTACTGAATTCTTTGTACAAGAATTTGTATTTTATGAAAAGGATCCCCGCCGCATGTTAACGTCGATCTAAGGAACTAATCGTAACTTGTAAATCTAGCGTAGTCTTTATTATGGTAGTAACATCCATATAATGCTGATATAAGTTGGCTCTAACTAAAAGCTTTGGCCTAGTAAACAGTAAATCACGAATTAAGAAGCAAATACTTAGGTTAGATAAAGTGAAGCACCTTATTTTTATTTCCAAAAAATAAAAACTTAAAAATACCTATGAAATATTGTTTATTTTCGATATTTTATTTGACATTCTGGTCAAATCACATTCAAATCTATATGAATAACCGTATAACCCTTTGAAACACTCCAATTACATTATATTTTCATTCTTATATAAAATCACCAGTCCTTTCTGGTACATAATATGATTTGTGCTCTATTTATATGTACGATTAATAGTTTGGACTGTAAACTAATGACACCTTAATTTTGACCAGATTTATATTTTATCCACCCTATTCAAATTAATATTTCATTGAAAGATAGTCGTTTAATTTTCAGTAACACTACCTGCTTATGCTTCTTGATGAGCCGCCTAATCAATATTTATAGTTGGTTATACAAAATATGTGGCAATCGAAAATTCTTTTCAGGATGATCGTATTCATTATCACCAATAACTTACTTAATTATCACATAATAATTATTATTATTACTATTGTTATTATTATTTTGATTTATTTATTCATTTCACCTTTAGTTTTTTTCACATTGAACAATTTCATTGTTTATTTTATTTCAATTTCTAATAATAATAATAATAATTTTACAAATATTATATTTGTGTTAATCACTTAAGTGAATTTCATGTTTTAAGTGGTTAAATATAAGCTTATTCTTCTTTTAGTCTAAAAATACATTCAATTAATATTTGTTCAAATTTATAGATATTAGTAAGTGTTGTATTGATTTTTCTATTGTGAATTATTTTCAAATTAATAGTTATGTTATGCATTACAATCATATGGTATTGTTAGTGTCTCGATTACGATAAATGCCAAATTATATTATATGTAGCATGATTTTGTGCATTGATCGATATATATATATATATATATATATATATAAAGATAGAGAGCGAAATAGATATAAATATAGATAGATAGATAGATAGATAGATAGATAGATAGATAGATAGATAGATAGATAGATAGATAGATAGATAGATAGATAGATAGATAGATAGATAGATAGATAGATAGATAGATAGATAGATAGATAGATAGATAGATAGATAGATAGATAGATAGATAGATAGATAGATAGATAGATAGATAGATAGATAGATAGATAGATAGATAGATAGATAGATAGATAGATAGATAGATAGATAGATAGATAGATAGATAGATAGATAGATAGATAGATAGATAGATAGATAGATAGATAGATAGATAGATAGATAGATAGATAGATAGATAGATAGATAGATAGATAGATAGATAGATAGATAGATAGATAGATAGATAGATAGATAGATAGATAGATAGATAGATAGATAGATAGATAGATAGATAGATAGATAGATAGATAGATAGATAGATAGATAGATAGATAGATAGATAGATAGATAGATAGATAGATAGATAGATAGATAGATAGATAGATAGATAGATAGATAGATAGATAGATAGATAGATAGATAGATAGATAGATAGATAGATAGATAGATAGATAGATAGATAGATAGATAGATAGATAGATAGATAGATA